AAAAACGATAACACGCCGAGTTCTCCCTCGGCAAAGAGAAAACTTTGACGAGACGTCTAGGGCAACTCGTAAAAAATTTCGTTAAAAAGAATCTGAAAACGAAAGAAGGTGCAAACGGACGGCAAGTCTTTACCAGGATATCGATCCGCGACACGTGCCACACGTTCACGTAGTAGCGCGTGCCGCACATTCACGTAGCAGCGCGTGCCGCACGTTCACGTAGCAGCGCGTGCCACACGTTCACGTAGCAGCGCGTGCCGCACGTTCACGTAGCAGCGCGTGTCGCACGTTCACGTAGCAGCGCGTGTCGACGCGAGCCGCACGTTCACGTAGCAGCGCGTGTCGCACGTTCACGTAGCAGCGCGTGTCGCACGTTCACGTAGCAGCGCGTGTCGAACGTTCACGTGGCTGCGACGCATGGCACACGATCACGTAGCAGCGCGTGATGCACGTTCACGTAGAAGCAACACACAGTTCAAAGTTCACATAAAAATGCACGTTCACGTAGTAGCAAACGTTTGAGAGGCTGAGCGTGATGCACGTTAGTTTGGCACACATACAAGTAAATGCGCTTGGTGAACGATCGTAAAGCTGCGCGTGGTGTTGGTTCGATAAGCGGCAGGTGGCGAGCTTTCACGTATCTGTGCATGCCACTCATTTCTACAATGCCAATTCGATCAACAATATGTTGCAATGGCTAGCGTAGCACTAACATACAACACTGGATACTAATATTTGAATATCCTTTATATCATCTTACGCAGTAACGATTAGGAATGAAGCAACTCATTTGGTATATAAATGATGTAAAACACTGTTGTTCAATGAGAATAATGAGAGTCTGAGTGCATCCATTAAAACACTAACTACAGAAGTTGAGTAAGGAAGGAACAAAAAATAAAACTTCAAGACTAGGCCGCCAGAACTCGTCGTCACTCTTCCTCGCTCTGATAAGTTCACATAGTTCACTCGGAGTTAAAAACAATTAGGTGACCGCCAGTTTGAGAGTTTCTCTTATAGTGAAGACGGTAATCGAATCAGCACAATACTTGCTAACATGTTGTCATTAAAACTAGATTACTAAAAGGAACTTGAGCAAGGAGGGAATTGGATATGAAAAATAAATTATTAACGAACTCGGAACAGATTGACCTGTGGAGAGACCAGCTCAGGTCTAAATTGGAGCTCCAAGTTGGAGAGGCACGAGACAAGACGAGCAATTTAGAGGCGAGGGCAAGCGGCCTACGACCGAGGGAAGGTCCTCAGAGAACTTGCAGGGTAACATTAGCTAGCTGAGAGGGTAGGCGACGGTGAGCCTCACGGCAAGAGGGAGAGGGAGATTGGCAACGAGTGAGAAGAGAGAAAGAGAAAGGAAGACTTCAGTGCGGTCGTCATGACAACCTGGTGAAGCGGTACACGCAACATCTGCAGACGCTGAGCTCGCTGCAGCCGTCGCTACTTCCCGAGCCTCCATCGTGATTATGCCAAAATTAACCTCTAAATGCACACAGAAATGTGAAGGAGATATTTCAACACAAATCTACGTAAAGAAGGGCGTTATTTAATTACATTCTCGAATACAAATTTTGCTTTCATCATGTGTTTTTAGTTCATGATGGGCACTAATAAACAATAGGTATACAGTCAGGATAGTGGATACTGGATACTGTATCTTTTGCAGTAATTCCATCAAACTAAACGATGAGATTATTTGAGTACACCCGTTGGATCCAAGGCAATTATTCGCAAAAAAAACAAAGTTTTGCTTGATGCATGACTTATTACGAGCCCATTAAGTGCTCGACAATTATCTGCAGTGGAGCACAGTTATCGAAGAAGCCTAATTTCAATCAACGCCATAACTTAGCTTCGTCCGGTCATTGCAAATATTTTGAACGGGCCATGAAAAATTCCAGTAATTCTAGTCACCCGCGGCGAAATGTTAATAACAGCGTGCCACGTAGCTATGCACGTTGATCAACACGGCGCAACCAGAATTTGCTTCCTCACAATTTCGGTTCGAAAGTCCGCAAGACAAGTAGAAATACGAAACGTTCATTTTCGAAAAATTATCTATGATAATTTTCCATTAGTTCTTTTAATGACAGCGCGGTGCGGATAACGCCATAATAATACGCTGCGTTGTTACTAATAGACAAAAATCGATGCTAAACTTGACTATCATTGCGCATGATTTCAAGATACGCCGACGACGAAGGAATGATCGCAAATTGAAAAAACTTCATCATCTATGAACCTAGGACCCTTCGATGTTATCGAGGAAGAATTCAAAGCGAGCTTCGTCGTCGCTAAAAATATAGAGGCATGTTGCGGAGGAAGATGGCTGGAGAGGGGCGACGGCAATCGATAAATTGGGGGTTTTCTGCAATGAGCACAACGGTCGAGACTAATCTCCAATGAAACTCCAGCGATCGATTCATGGCTTTGTTCTGTGCAGCGCCAGATGGACTCCTGAGCCGGCATATAAGAATCCTTGCTTCGCAGCGCATTATTGAAAAAAATGCGTAAAGTTATATAAAAAAATGCGTAAAGTTACGCAGAAGATCGGATATTTCTTAGAAGGTAATCGTGAATCATGGCGCAAAATTTTGTCTGTAATTTCTCTGGACCAAGAATGTCACGCTGCTGGTATTAATAATCTATCAATACATGGAAATGCCACCAGTTCAATTCAGTATCGATGGCGATGCCAGCAGGTTCCCAATAAAATCGGCTCCATCGCATGAGCTATTCGATGGAGGTAACATGAGCATATCAGTAGTTTTAAATACAGCTCTAACGGCAATAAAAGTTGAAAAATATACTTTAAAGATGACAGTTTTAGCGGAGAGGGACGTTCGACGGCTGTAACGCCATGACTTAAAATCATAATGTAGCTCCGTAGTCCGATATTTTACTGGTTACGGAGAGGTTCTCAAATAAAATGGCCTTGAACATTTCATTGCATGAAAGCCTCTGTCACTTGATTTTATCATAGAATTTAAGCCACATTAAGATGAAGGTAATAGATACTGATTGGTTAGAAAATATTCCAGGAATAAGCACGATCAGAGTGGCTGATAATATCTGGACCAAACTTCGGGTCAAAGCTCGTTGGTGGTTAATAGAAAATGTGAGCAACGTTTGAGCAAGAAAATTTGAGTCGTTGTCCAGCATACAGGCTTAAGGGGGATTAAATGTTGAGTTTATTTTTTAGCAGAAATTCCGAAAGATGAATTAATAATGTGGGAAAGAAATCCGCAATACAGGCACGCGAGAAATCAAACAGCAGGGCAAATAATAGAGGAAAATTAGAGATCAATAGTAAAGGGGGAATAAGGGATCGATAGTAAAGGGAAGCGAGGGATCAATAATAGAGTGGACCATATATAAGAGGAGCGCCGGTCGATATCACAGCAACTAAGCTCGCCATCACATCGCTGCGCGCACGGCGGTCGATAACCGGCGACACCTCACGCACACACGCGCCGCTCTCACCCTCTGTCTCCTGAGGAAATGCGGCCTAGCATCACACTGACTTTCATCCTTTAATGCAAGTTTTGCGGTAGACCACAGCCTAATTGTCATCAACATTTTTCTTATTGTCCCTCTCAATTTGGCAGATTGAACTTTTTAAGGATTTGAAAGTTGAAATGTGAAGTTTCCTATGGATATTTATTATAAAATTAAGACGCTTAGAAGAAATACCGGACTTATTTTTGAATACTAAGTGAGGGAAACAATGACGCCAGACAACGTCTTCCTAAATGCATCCAAGCTACAAATGGGGAAAGGGAGGGGGTGGGGGCAGAGGAGGGGGCGAACGGAGGGCTTGTGCGTGTACAAATTGTTTTCAGTTTTTGCTTAGTCGGTACCTTGTAGTGCGCAATAGAGCGTGTAGTGAATTTCGGCGTCAAAGAAGTCTAATAATAATAACCGACAAAGAATATATGTGACCAGGTTCAAAAGGCTATTTGATATTAAAAAATCACAACAGTAATAGCAAGTTAGGAGGGAAAATTCCAGTGCAGCTCGGAATTTCTGACGTAGCATAGTCGGACCAGTTCTCTCCTGTGCGTGGATGCTTTGTAAAAACCACGAAATCATCAATTTGCACATTCAGAGAATCAACAAGCTTGAGAAAATATAAGCATGATATTTCGGGCATCATTTGAACATTTCAAATCTAAATAATAAACAGGAGACGGGCGGACAGAGATGACGACCGCACCGAGTAACACTGTTCTAGCGAGGCCCGAGTGTGTGCCCTCACCGTCACAGGGATCTCAAGACAGTAGCTCAGCTCGCCAATCTGCTAATGCAGGAGCCGGCAGAACAGCACGCACCTTACGACTACCGGCCTCCGTCGTCCCTTGTGGTTTCGATCATTTTCTTGCGCGTTCCTTAATGCCTAAACCTCGGTTACACGACAAAATCCGAAATGCATACCAGATACAGTGGGACAGAATGCTGAAGGAACGCATAAATCGGGTAGCATGATCTACTAAAAAAAAGCCACTGGTTGATCATTGAATGTTCTCGTAAAAAAAACGAAAAATACTTGCGGGTTCTTGCGCATTCAATTTGCAGGCTGAAACTCATGGAACCGGGAAATCTGCTTGAAGTCCCGAAGCTATACGATGCTGTAAGTTTTTCCTGTCAATTGCTGGTCGTAACGCAAACTTCAATTCGAAATGGACGTTCTTACGTATAATCTCATGTGTTTTAAAGAATAAAATTTGAAATAATTTGTAGCACAATGTAAGCACAGAAAACTTACCTGCCTTCATGCTAAGTAAACCAACGAATCAATGGACAGCGATGAAAACAACATACACATTTGTACGTTTTTAAAATTTCCTAAAGGTAGAAAATTATTGGTATACAAATCTGGCATCGAAAAATTTTCATATGAAATGGGAATTGCCTTATTAAAATATGAAATCGATGGGTTATAAATTTGAATTGTAATAACTATTAAGAGTAAAGTAGTTTCTCACCTGTTACTTTATCCTTGATGAGTTTGCATGACTCGAGCTCGCCTATGGATGAGAAGAGGGACCTGATTTCCTCCTGGGTCATGCTCTGGGGCAGGTAGTTGACGATGAGGTTGGTTTTGCTTTCTTCAACCATGCCGGACTGCGATGAGTTTGACGATGCCGTGCCGTTCTGTGCAGGAGCGCAACTGTCCATACCATTCATCATTCCGGACATCCACGATTCCACGCTCACCTTCAAGCTGAAACAATAAAGGATTAATAGCTGTTAGAAAAAGATATGGATCAACGAATAAAATTTTGGTTAATTATGATTTGTAGCAGCACATAATGTGATGAGAGTAGTAATTATTAACCTGTAAGGAACGAAACAAACCAAAGAGTCTGGCCTGATTGCATAACTGGTTAATCTCTACAATAACTGGTTAATCTTTGTCAGCTGAGTCGACCTCCCATTCGCAAAATCTATTTCATCAATAGAAATCGGAATGCTTAGAAACGTTCACATGAAATGAGGTGCAAATAATCCAATTAAGTAACCTCGTCCGGTAACAACAGCATCAGCTCTTCAAAGTAGTATTATATTTAGCAACCGACATCAAGTTAAATTTTACCTTTTTTTTAAATTTTATTGCACGGTTCTAATCAATGAACTCGTTAATTATACGGTTTTTTAAATTAAACAAAATCACTTAAAATTCAAAACCTTTAAAACCGTACATTGAGCAAAGTTTGAAAATTTAAAAGATTTTCGAATAATGAAAAATGACCGAGTCACAGGATACCAATTGTGTAACAACTGTAAATTTGCTGAACAATTGCACATTTGATTTATAAAAATTGCTAAAAATTCCAATTAAGTCTAATAAAATGCCTCCATCTGATGTAAAAAGATTCCATCATTTTACTAGGTAATCAAACCAAAATCAACTGACAAACAGGTCGGAGTCATTTAAAAAAGATGTTTAATAATTTTAATGCAAAACTTGTTACAAGCAATCAGGAATTCGTGGGCGTAGAGCGAGATAGGACTGAGTTCGTACAGAGGTGAAGCAGGTGCATCCGATATTCCAACAGGTGTTCTGAACACGTGCTGCAGCGGCCGAGGCGAGTGCAAATGTGAGTACCACGACTGAACGATGGAATATCGTTTCTTGTGCCACATAAACTACACATCAGCAGCAATTTCAAGACAGAAGAATTGGCTTATGAAACAAAAAATGTAACTACAGCCCTGGTAAGCATAAGCAAATGACTTCTGATAACTTGGCTCGCTTTATCAAATTCCGAACAACGACTCAGCAGCTCAGGCGTGTAGGACAAGCGATGAAATCGTTCAGATTAATCGCGACAACCTGATTAAATCGCAGACGAGTAAAATCAATAGGAAACACCCAGCTTTATGCAAAGACAACTAAGCAAATCAACTCTCTTAATTCGCACGTATTTTGCTTATTGAAATCGTTTTGGAAACAAATCAACAAAACAAGTCCAGCCTAAGACACAATAAGTACAGGTTGTGTAGGCCACAGCTTGAGCAGGGGTAACATACGCTGCTAAGTGACCAGCAGCAGCTGGGCTCTGCAGGATGTACCCAACACAAGGCTTAGGAATACTCTAGATTCTAGAAGGTAAGAGACCGCACCTCCGTCTACGGATACAATAAATTGATCAACGTTGTTCACAACTTATTGTATTGTTGTTATTAATAGCGCTGTACGAAATATACTATACTGCAACTTAATCGTGGTAGAATAGTTGGTGTGCTGTAAGGTTGAATAGGGATCGAAGCTGTCAGGAAAATAATAGCATTAAGAGCCTTTGATGTCGGGGGAATTGGAGATGACAAAGTGGATTTTTATTGGAAAAGTTCGTTATTCTCTCTACCTCTTCAAGTCGCAAGCCTCCTATATCAACTATCAACTTTATTAACAGAATTGAGCAAGAAATTTAATGCAAGATCTAAGATACAAGCTAAAATTTAAAATGTTTGTCTGATAATTCAACACTGAAGAACGTATTTCCCATCAGCATTAGACGTTTTATTGACGAGCGGGAAGTAAAGTGCGATGCCTTCATAGTGCCCAATCAACGATCTTTTTTACATGCAAACAAAGAAAAATTAATAACTGTGGTCAACCTTTACACAAGAAGATTGATAAATAAAATTGATCGGAACCCCCACCAATGACATTCAAGAAACTCGAGTGAAACGAACAGCTACCGAACACACCGATTGACGTTGAATTCGAATGAGCACTGGTTCACTGTAGATCACATTTGAAATACACGACACAACCAACAGGTTTCATTTGCAACGTAAATGCAGCTCCTGAAAGTGTGACAGGAAACGCCGACGCTGCCTAAACCTCTGCAGCAAACGGCTTTTAGCTCGTATCGAGATCAAATATAATGTTAAACGTACTGAATAGAAAGATAAAATTAAATCAAAAGAATACAGAGCAAAGGAAGGTAGTAAGTTTTTCTAGAAAATTAAATCGTGACTGCACCAAATTTTTCGGATCCAGGGTCAGTAATCTAATAATTTCAAAAGTTCGCATAAAATGGTTGAATAAACTTCATAATCGTCATATTGATAACGTGCGCACTATCTGGAAATTCAAAGTTTTTAAGCAGCACCAAGAAATGTTTGTTGATACGGTCGACTGACCACAATAAAAAACTAACCACAAACTTGAAATATTCAAAAAGCAAGTCCTAACAGCAAAGAGGCAAAATTGACTTTTATAGCTCGGGTTCAGTACGGCTCCTTTTTTAACATGGAGTTTTTTGCCAGAGTTCTATCGATCAAAGTGTCCATGGGTTGATAGAACCGTCCATTACAGGGTCTATCCCTAAGTCTACTTCTATCTTCGGACTAAGATCAAAGCTTCGCCTAATGGACTGATTGACAAGGCTTGACAATAGGAGGCAGCGCAAAAGGATTCACTTTACAAATAACTTAGCGATTTTGAAGAAAAAAGATGTTTCCAAAAACAAGCTACGCTTAGAAATGGATGGACGATCCAATATTACAAATAGCATCGGTTCATTTTCGCCATTTGTTTCTAATAAGAGATTAAGTTACTACTTAACATAATTGAAAATACCATTTCTTTTTCTTAACCGAGATTTAAAAAAATTTAAAAACGAAGAGACGTCAAGTACCTTCACCATATCTTCACTGAAACAGTTTTGAGTCCAACTCCATCTCAATTCTGAAAATTTAGGAAACTATTATAAAATAATACTTTTTTAATGTTTTTCTTTTGGTTCAGACCGAAGCTGCACCTTTCCTCTAACTCAAGAGGTTACGTTTCGAAGTTTTGATTGAGCAAGTGGATACAGATATTTAGGTATATTATATTCTACTATTATACTATATTATATATTATTATATTACATATTATACATGTAGATATATAATGTACCTATCACCGTTCGAACAATTCCACTCTGCGCAAAGCCTTACATAGTGCGCGTCAATATTCAACGCGAATTCACATAGCGAGAACAGAGACGGCTCAAGTCGTTGTGGCCATATTAATAATGAGCGGGTACTATATAGGTACTAGGAATGAGCGCATTCGAACTTTAGACGTGGTAATCCATTTAACATGAAACTCTTTTTCTGCGGATGTATTAAACACATAAGTTACTTTTCGAGACTAAAGGACTGGTTACTAGGAGATACCGAGAGAAGACCAAGCATAGCAGTAACACAATAACATCTGCCGGCAAATAAGTGAAAAAGAACGTCAAGTCGTGACTCATGTACGAGCCTTTTAAAAACTGGTTCCCACCTAACTGTATCATTAATATTTTCATATAGTTACCGTGAAAAAAAATTATTTATAAGTCTGAGGACTTGACACGCGGCGCAAGTGAGGAACCTCAATGTTTCCAGACTTTATATCAGATCGATCACCGGCGCCCACATACGCGGCTTCATCACACCCTCTCCGCACTCTGCAGCTGCTGACAGCTGTACGAATGCCTTGTAGAATCTGTACAAATGAGCTGCAGCAGCTAGCAAGTGTACAAATACGCTGTAGCAGCTAGCAGGCTAGCAGCTAAACAAATACGCTGTACCAGCTGTACTGGTCTGCTGAGTAGCTGCTATAGCAATTGTATGGTTCGTTACGAGTAACTTGCAACTGCTATAAAGGTGAGTCTACATGCCCATACGAGCGAAGTTCTAAGTATTCCAGAGGTTACTCTGTAATCACAAACGAAAGCATATTGGCGAACGCCAACAAAATTAAGGGGAGCGTCTGGGGGTAAAAGTCGCTACTTTTTACTCTTCCGGTTTTTATGCTCATCTTAAAGCTTACTTTCTGCCACATCGAACAGTACTAGAACCATCTCTGCACGTTGATTTATGCGTTCACGACAGATCCCGAAAGGGGGAGGGTGGTGGGGTCCCTTCACAAAATCCTATGGAGATAATTACGGCTAATATAAGCTCTAAAAATGTATATACACATAATATAAGCTCTATAAATGTGCTGTCGCTGGACCTACAGCTCAGTTCCCGACAGATATCATGCGGAGAGGTGCTGATAAAGTTGTCCTCTGCACTGCTGACTGACTTTGAAGTAAGCTCACGCTTACTTTGGGTATCTAAGCTACGTTACATGCCTTTACATAGCGCGCCACGGTTTTCCGCCTCTACTGAACAATTTGAAAACATGAAAACCTCTCTCACGCCAAACCTATCTCCTCCTACGGTTTTAAAGCTACATCAATGAGACATATACCATTCGATTCGCAAAGAAAAGATCTACAAATCGCTGGTTGCGTTTTTCTAATTTCGTTATAGTTTGGATTTTATTTTTTAAAAAGGGGGGTGTAGGGGGGGGGTAAAATCGAAAAATTTCCGAAAAATGTACAACAAATGCCCCCACACCCACAAAATTGAGAAATTAAAAAAACGTGTACAGCTAATTATAGATATGGTCTTTACGCATCGAATGATATGTGTCTTGATGTTGTAGCTTGAAAATCCTAGGAGGAGATAAATTTCTACGGTACCCCCTTTTTTGGCCGTTTTTTAAGAATTTCCCGTTTTTTTCATTTTTTTCGAAAAATTCACACGAACAAAAATTTCTTAGAATTCTGTTTTACATATGTGTACCAAGTTTCAGAATGATCCGTCTGTAAATAGCAGAGATAAATTTTACCCCAGACGCTCCCCTTAACAATAGGCTTCACTCGACAATATTAGCACATACAATTATAACTCAATTATAAGTAACTCAATTATATCAGAAGTCGCCATCGGTAGTGATCTCTGAAATCAGAAGAACGGAAACCAACCATCTAAATTGGCGAATCTTTGCAGACAAGAATGGCAGGTGGAAGCGCTGCATTTTATATCGGGATACACAAGACCAGAAATTTGTGATCAACAAAATATTATATAGCTCAGACTGCCAAAAAAATCATTATTCACGGCATAATAATGACAAATAACGGAGTAAATAATGTGACAGAAAATGACAGACGCGTGACAGATAACGGGGTAAAACAGCCAAGACGAGTCAGTTGGTATCACCCGCATTAAAACGCTACTGACAATGATTATAAAGAGGAAGAAAAATCAGCAATAAGATTATCCTAAGTAAAGCCTAGTTTGACAAGAGTGAAGAAAATAATTAAGGAATCTTCTCGAGTTCTTGTAAATGTAAAGCGTATGGGGAGCATCACTAATTACTTATTATCGTACTAGATTGACGAATAATACACAAGATTTGTAGCAGCAATAGCGAAGTCTCCGTCTTATTGAGCCGTGAAAAAAAACACAATAATACCGTGTGTTAAAAACGGCGTACAAGTAAGAGTAATCATCAGAAAGTTGATTAAATTTTCGCACAAATGATTGATATTATTAATGCCAGTACTTCTTTGGCATCAAGTCGATATGAATCAAGGTTGAAGTTAAGTGTAAAGCGACGAAGAATAAATTTCCTGAAAGACATCTCATGAATGATGTAAACAAGCTCGTATTCGATACCGTTCGTTCACACGCATGGTTAATTTGCAAACCTAATATTAAAAATGCAAAATAATCAATCAGAAATTATTGGGAGACACACGAAGGTGTAACAGCCATTATTATCAGTGGTCACGTCATGAGATGCTGTCAGTTATTTACGAGAATTACCCGTTATGCATGTTACAACATGATAAATTAATGGGCCGTCTCAGGTTTTCATCAGAGATAAAAAGAATTAAATACGATTTATTTCTCTACGATACAGTGCGAATATTAGAGCATGTCGACCCTTGGTCTGCCTGATATTCATCGACTTCAGAATTATTAAGAATTACCAGAATCAATTTTCTCCGACACAACGACATGCATGTCCGTGAAACGATCACCCCATGTCCAGTCTAGTACTTCTGTTCACGAAGCGTTATATTCGAATTAAGACGAGCTTGCATATAGTAATTATATATACATAGTAAATAGTAATTTCGGTACAATCACAAAATAAGATGCAGCTCGTCAACTGTAATCGGTTCCTTCCACAAAAAAATATAACTCAGTACTCATTGCAGTGAGTGACAGAGAGCGCATTTTCTCGTCGACGAAAACGTGGTCACGGACGGACGGACTGACAGACAGACGGACGGACATGACGAGCACAATAGCGTCTTTTTTCCGTCAATGAGAAAATGCGCTAAAAATTGAGGAAAACAATGAACCATCATTCCGCGATCAAAATAAAGTTTGTAATGGTGAGGCCAACTTAAAAACTTACATGAAAACATCATTGAACAAAATTTCTTTGCTCAACAGACGCATGATCGACTTTCACTTAATTTCCCTGGCATGCGCATAAAGATGTCATGAGATGTAATGTAAAGTCCAATAACCGTGAAACGTAACTTATTACGAGCGATATGCTGATGGAAATTCTGTTCTTTACATCATGGATGGCACGTTAGAATAAATAAAATGCTAATTTTAGAATTACGATGATTAAAATTACGCTGATTATAAGGAACAGTTATAAAGATTCCGCTTCGGCAGACGCATGCCACATACCCAGGCGTAAGGAGCAGTTATTTATAGTCTAAGTTTTATAGCCCACAATAAATGAGAAACATGTTCATTCACAGATAAATTATTAGTTCAAGTAAGGCCAATAAGAGAAACGACTTAATCACTTGACCTCTGCAGTCTTGTGGTCACAGAGATAACACCAAAGAGGATTTGGGTGACGAAATAAGAAGAAACCTGTCGAGTTAAAGATCAGTTTATGATGTCACTTGGAACCTTATATTTGAACTTTCCAATCCCACAAAAAACTTGATTCGTTAGAAAAAGAAAAAAAGCAATAATAAAATCGCCAATAAGGAATATTCTCTGGCCTTCAATGAAACGTGTATTATTCAATTACGTGCACTAATAAGCTAAATAGTCGCAACAAAACTGATGGCAGCGTATGAATTTTAATAATATTCGTCAAATTTTCATTTCCATAATTGAATGTGACCATGAGCAATTCAGCGACGCGAATGTGTTGAGAAATATTGTGACAAGCTGACGACAAGATGAAGACTTTTCTGAGACGAGATTGAAAAAGGTTTAGCGAAATCCTAATTTGGCGAAAGCTGCGTCTATAGCGAGCGGTAGCGGCATAAGAAACAAGATAGTCCATTAAACCTGAGCGATGAATATTCTAATATTGTCCATTAAACCATTAATGAAATGAATATTCTAATAACGTGGCGATTCAACAAACCAATAATTGAAAGATAACGAAATTCAGTGCTCAAAATATTTAACTAGATTACAACTAAGCTATTGACGAGGGAAAGTATTTTGAAAGCAAAATTCAAGTATCATGAACCACGTGTGAAGGACCAGCACAACAACCATTAAACACGTGTGAAGAACCGACATGGCTATCATGGACCACGTTAAGAACCAGGGCAGATACACTGAATTGCAACTTTGCGAATGCAGCTTCCATGGATTACAAGCAGAACCTTAACGAGTATTGCGACTCATTTGATAACGCAACAAATATCTGTCTATTCGAGAGTAAATCGATAGTGACCGGTATTAAAGACGAACGAAAACGAAAATTAAAGAAAGACGAACGAAAACGAAAATAGTACAATATAACCAAACTTAAATTCCGTTGTATTATTCATGTTATGCATTTGAATTCGTTACAGACCAAATGACGGACCAAACGTGAGAACCGCGCGGGAATAAGAAAAACTGGGTTCAAAATGGCGGATAAAATGCTCATTTGTCGATACATAATATAATCACTATCAAATTTCCCAAGGTAATTCGTGACAAACTAAACAGCTAATTTAATTCACGTACTGAAATTCATAAGGAGACATAACCACGTGTCCAAATTGAAGAGTGGAAATAAAAATCGCAGAGTCAGCAGGCAAACCCAGGCAGCTTCATTCTAATTACGTTCATTTTATTAACACTGATTAGGCATTAGGGCCCAGGAACAACAATGTATATCGACAGCAGATGAAGGATTTTGTGAGTGCACAATTTTACTACCCAGACACATGTATATATAAATAAGCTGACTCAGTCAAAAATATTAAAACACGAGACAAAAATATTCAAATTAAATCGGCACGCGTGTCAAGCGTTTCGAGAGAAACTAAATACCGATATTGCACAAAATAAATAAATTGTCAGCAAACGTTTTTATATTAATGTATAATAATGAAATACCTAACTTGGGACATTTTTATTTTTAAACGATTCAATTAGAGTTGTGTGGAGGCGAAACCGCAAGGAAAAACATCCAAATTAGAATATCAATTTACTCGCGACTTATTAACGTAATGAAATTAAGATCAATGGCGATCAAAATTATATAGACGCAAATTAACAATAATTATACTTAGAAAAAAATCCAGAGTCTTAAAACATGAAAGGGTTTTTCATAAGAATACTCGTAGAAAAACACTGAATGAGATATAGTAGGACATGCAAGGAAAATAAAAGCAGAACTGCTTAAGATAACTGAAGTCTTCTCACCTGCAGATAAGTCAAACGAAGGCCGAGCTAGCAAGTAAATATATTGCACAGATTCTGAGCGGCGGCTGGTGAAGCAACTATTAGCAGCCGTCCAGAGGTCAGTACTCAACGGTAATAGAGCTGTGTAAAGAATGATGCTGCATCTATTGAAATGGTCAACGGACTTTCACTGAGATTAATAAAAACAACTGGAAAAAAGGAAAAAAGTCTTAAAAGTAAAAAAAAATCAAGACAAATCAGAAACTAGGTGCGTAAAAGTAGCTAGAAATAGGGACCAGGCAAAGTGGTAAGTTTGGATCCCTTCAAGTGGAATGCGTTTTTTCCTTCGTAAATTCTTGTGCAAGTACTGTAATTTAGGCGGAAACGAAATAAATGCAAGTAATAGTTTACGATGCTCAATTGAGAATATCCTATTGCAAATTTAAAGTTGGGTGAGAGTAACTAAATATGATTGTGAGACGACCGTAACGAGACGGGATGTTTGTGTATCGAGCCCGCAATAGATAGATAATTCTCGAACTCGTTACCAGCTTTCTCCTCCCTTACTTCAAACTATTGGGAAAATGTGAGAGACAAATATTTAACGAAAATCGCTTCATAAGGTGGCGCGTCGGAAACAATTTCGCTGTCTAAGCCAACTAAAGCGGTGTTTTCATCAAGGGAATTATCGAGAAAGGGGAGCGACGAAGCCAGAATGAGCCGAGTCCCAAGTTAACAAAGTTTGGCGTCGAGATCACGAAGACGAGGAGACTGGAGCCAGAGAGCGTCACGTCAGATTACACCGGCACTCCGCCAAATACTAAGACCCATGAGCGAACGCGAGGACCGCCGCCGCTTCTCCACCTCCACTGATGCCGCCACCGCTTCTCCGCCTCCACTGCGCCTCCAAGCGATGCACCGTGCAGCGTTTACTTACGTACGCACGCATGCTACAACCGCTCCCCCCATGGTCGCGTGCGCACATGTGCACCGCACCTCAGCTGCCGCGTCTCACGAGTCCAGGGCCCCCATAAAAGCTTTCCTCAGACTCCAGCCCAGACCAGAGAATTTGGCTGGAGCTTCAAGCGACACTTCATTTCATGAGAACAATCATCGACTGAACGCGTTTTGTGTATTAATTTAGTGTTATGCAGAGTCGCGTTTCGAAGTAATTCTGCTATAAAAAGTTGAATAACTTATTAATTTAATCAGCCACTACGGCGCCCAAAAGAGCAGCTGAAATACAGATTACAGAAATACAGAATGATTACTCGTTCGATTACCAATGATTACTCGTTTGTAGAAAAAGTTGTTATCCAGTGAACAAAACTTAGAAACTTAGCATGACCTCTGACAATGATAATACTTCTAGTGTTAATAATATAAGAATGTTAGCATAAATTTCAGTTCTGGTTATGGCTAAGTAACCGAAGCATGAGCGGGTAATTTAACCAACGCGTTGGACGGCTAAACAGAGTATTGGACGGGTAACTCAAGTATTGGACGGGGAACCCAAGTTTTGGACGGGGAACTCAAGTATTGAACGGGTAACTCAAGTATTGGACGGGTAACTCAAGTATTGGAAGGGGAACCCAAGTTTTGGACGGGTAACTCAAGTATTGGACGGGGAACCCAAGTTTTGGACGGAGAACCCAAGTATTGGACGGGTAACTTAAGCATTGGACGGGGAATCCAAGTATTGGACGGGTAACCCAAGTATTGGACGGGTAACCCAAGTATTGGACGCGTAACCATAGCGTTTGAGAGGTAACGAAAGCGTGGAGTGGGGGCGGGTAACCATAGCGTGGGGTGGGTAACCAAAGCTTGGGGCGGGTAACCAAAGCGTGGGGCGGTATCACAGGTACACCAGACAGCGCCAGCACGCGTCGACGGTAAGCATATTTCAGAGCACAGTTTGTTTACGCGGAACGACTGCGCGTGTTTACGGTCTGCGCTGCCTCCCGTCTGTTGCTATTTCCTTCTGAACGCCTGAGTTTTTCCTTACAATTCTCTTGAAGCTCGAAAGAATACTTCTGTTTATTAGTACATGCCAAAATTTCCAAAATGGATCTCAAAATATTCGCAAGAGATACGAATACATTTGCATGATGTTACGAGTGAAATTATTTCACGTGAAGGAACATAAAAATAATCGCGATTATGATCATCCAATAATCTTGATTCTATTATAAATAATAGAATCAAGAGCCCAAAACAGGAGGAGAGTTCAGAAGGAAGGCATGCCAAATCCACGACGCGATACGGTGGTCGAACGCGAAATGGTGGCATCAGAGCACATTATCTGGACCTATCCCATGAAAATTATTACTACGAAAACAGATGCGTGCAGAAATGCTGCGTGCTGTAGGGACTGCAGGCGCTAAACAAACACTGTAAAAAAACATGAACAGTAAGCACTGCACACTCTGGTGGCACTGGGAGAGGCAGCACCAAATGCACTGCAGCGAAGGCGTCGCAGGCTGCGGCAGCGCTGCTCAAGCGGGCGAAGACAATGCGGACAAATGACTGCCGCACCAACAACACAAATCCCCACGTCGTCTCCAGACTTCCACAACAACAGCCTTCGCATCCCACTCACAAAACTGAGAATTCAGATCAGTACAGACCACAAGAGTTGGGCCACGTAGTCATTAGCTACCGAATTTACCCTAGCATGAATACCGCAAAGATTTTCGCCTTGACTAGATGGGTAAGCTAATTTAAGTTATTTGAAACCTATTAGGCGTTCTTGAATTAAGAGTATCATCACTATCAACGGAAGAATCAGGTTCTTTACGAATTATCAAAGTAAATTGCTAAGAAACCCATGAATATCGTTGTTCTTAGTAATTAATTAAACATAGAAACCTGGAAAAATCGTGAAACGTCCCGCAGTTCGTTCAAGAGTCACAGAGCGTTGATGTGTCATCAGCGCAATGACACACAGGAACGGCCGATGAAGAAGCGGAGCGGAACGGGGCGCCCGACTCTATTGGCTATATAAGAGTCCACGTCAGCGGATCAATATAAACGCCTCAACGACCACGCTGTGAGCGAGGGTATAATCAGTGATATGTGCGGCAAATCCCAAGGCCGAGAGTTATGCCTCTCCAAATGACACAAAGCAAATTTACGAGCCAGAGCTAGCAGCGCTCAGCTTTACGACTGAGTGAATACTGCCCTATACTGCGGCACAGTTTACGATCTGTTTGAAGGCAACACCGATCACTTAGATAACAACTCAATATGACAGTTTAAGCAAGTCTTAACGTTTAAATCTGTCATAAATCATATCAATATCAAGTTTTGAAGTTCCGAAGTGAAGCAGTGAGTGGCTGGCACGGAACACAACATCGCAAAAAAAAAAAAACTTTCATGACGACAGGCCCTGAGACGAGGAAAAAAGACCAGCTGTATGCCGTAAGGAAACAAACTCACGGCATTTCAATCAATTGCATGAATTTGGTAGCCTAAATAATCGATTCCAACTTGCCTATTCTAACATAATATTTTTTTTTAGAACAGTAGCGGATGGACCAACAGTAGCGGATGGACCAGTAGCAGTTCTCAATGATGCTTCAGATAGAACAGAGAAAGCAGTTGAAATGTCTTTAAAGACGCGATAAAAATGTTGATTTTAACGAAAAATAATACGATAAAAATTTAACCGACATTTGATGGGCGAAAAGCTGAAACGATGAAGGTGCTTAAATTTTACGAAAATAATCATCACTGTGGTAAAAAAAATGTATTAAGAAGTAAAAATAGCTAACTACTACATTGTGTAACCGAGAAATATTTATTTTAGGGATACACTATTTAGTAGAAACGAAACATATCTGCCATATCGAATGAACATTACTCGCGAGCCTTAAAACATGTTATGATGAGTGACGTCTGAAGAGCCCACACAGAAAACCAACTGTTGGTGTTGGATTAGATTAAAACCGTTGCACGGCTGAGACTGGATTATCTAGACTGGAGCCTGAGGCATCCACGTGGATACTGATGAATCCACAGGGAGGCAGAATCATCTACTGGGCAACATAAACATACTGGGGGAGACATGCATACAGAGGGAGACAATAGCATATTGAAGGAGACAGAGGCATGCAGAAAGAGAACGAAGCCAATTTCGGGCACAGGCGACAGCGCCATTGAAGCAGGGAGTGTATATCAAAGAGTGGTGCGCGAGATGCAATTCAGCGATTAAGCTCATAATATGAGAGTGTAATGGAGCAGTGATGCGTGGCGGCAGCTGCTGGAGCTACACGCACGTACACAGAGCAACCCTCTTCTTAAATCAAACTCGGTTCAGTCGTTGCAAATCGTATTCGTTGGCCAAGTAAATTTTTGTGGAAATTTGGATTCGTGTAAAATTTTTCGCAAGAAATAACGCACATGTGATTATTTTCGAGCCATCTTTGAGGCAAAAATCCCAGTAGAAGGATTGGATTAACAATAGATGAAAACCAGAATTCTAAATTCATAAATAATGTTCACAGCGTCATTGAAGCAGGGGCTGTGGTGACGACTTTACGCGTAAAAACAAAACTAAGCGTTGACGAAAAACATAGCTTGACATGCGCATGAACTTGTACCCTTAGTAACACGAGATTGCGCGTTAAAAAATTACTCTCGGATTAAAGTAGCAAAAGAAACAACTAAACTAGGAAGGAGACCACGACCACAAGAACTTCTGGAAGTCAAGCGGCAAAGCTCCTGCGTTGCCAAGGCCACAATAACAGCCGGAGATCTCCTAAAGAAAGCAACGTCGCACGATGAGCCCACAAAAAGTCGATATAGCTTTAGGGGAGGACAGGCCCGACGGGCTCAAGAAGAAGGTAGGGGCTCCGTACAGCCCCCGAGGGAGACGTCAACCAGGCTAGATCTTGCGAATACTGTAGGTTTTGTTCAACGCAATCTAAACGGATTGTTGTGCTACACTCAATCTATAGATTGTTTGCCTGAGTCCTAACAGAAATTTGTTTGGCAATAGAAATTTATCGGAAAGTGACTTCACTGTTTACTTGTTATCTCAATCTTGAGATAAACCAGACCGCTGTTCAACAGTGGAGTCGATTTGTCTGCTTAGTGAGAGGAAATTTGAACGTAGCTTCACTATTGAATTCACTGAAAGAAAATGATGACATCGGAATAGTTCCGTATTCAACTGCCAGTTCACACAACATGTCATCGTGAGTGATGGGAGAGAGGAGTATTAAATGTCTGCAAATAAATGTTTATGGC